TGTGAATATTGTGTGTGTTGACTGTGTTCTTGAATTACAACAACCTTAAAATAGGGTGAAATTTCACCCTGGTCATAGCCCAACCAAATTCTGTTATTTTATTCATTCTGATCTAAAATCAAATTCTTCTCAACTCAAATTATTTCTTAAACATCTATATTGTCAAGGATTTATTCCTGACAAAAACCTTGCGAAGGTTAAATATTATATGTTAAGCTAGTCAAGTGCAGAGAACAATATTAGATATGAGAATTATTCCAGCTATCCAGTTGAAGCAAGAGTTTGCTGAGTAGTTGTCATTCCTTGTGAAATACACCTAATCCTTTAACCAGGAATTCCAAAAGGGAATTCTGGCTCCTGTCCTGGGCTCATTATTGTCTTTTATTTATGCGCTTCTATGCTTCTGATCCAGTTTGACGCTAACTTATATTGAGGCAACATCTGTCCCCACTACCATGGCAGGCATTTTTCTGTTTTCCTGTATTTAAAATACAATATATGACAAATATTATATTTTTAGTAAATTTCATTTAATTTGATGCGCTATATAGGAGAATGTGTGATTTAATTCTGACCAATGCAATTTATGAGGGCTGTCCCACTTGAGTGCAGCCTTGGTTATTTCTGGAGCAGGTTTGACTGTGAAAAAAAATTATGACATAGCCCATGATATATTCTAAGGTTTTGGAATTTTTTCCAGATTATAAAAAAGTCTTTCAATTTACTGCATGAAATGCTAAGTGCAAACTTTTCAGATATGGCCAGAGTTCTCTACTCCTATTGTCACAGAGTGCTGAAAATTTGTCAGCACAGCTGAAAATTTAAATTTTTGTGTTGTTGCAACCCTTATGTAAAACTTATAAAAGAACTTGGTTAGAACAACAACAAAATTCAGTTGTTTATCTGGCCTGAAAATTTTTAGCACTTGGCTTTGGGGGAGAACGCTGGCCGTAACTGGAAAGTTTTCACTCATCATGCAGTAAATTAAATTTTCTTTTTTAAATCGAAAAAATCCGATTGTGCATTATTTGAAGATTTCTCAGGCGTCTTATGTTGGGCTGCATTTTATGTTTGGATGAATACTGTACTGTGAGACTCACTTATTTATTTTATTTAAAAAAAAATTTCTTTATGATCATAATTTGTCTCGTATTTGAGAATTGCTTGTGGTTGACCTACAAATTTCTTTTAGATACAAGCAAATGCGGTGAATCCTGAACGTGAGGAATTATTAAGCTTGTGTTTCATGTTGGAGCAATTCAAGAGTTATAGTCAAGTATTACTTATCGAGAGTGTAAAAATCATTTTCATTTCACATATTCTTGGTATGCTTGAAACAACGATTCTAGAAGGAATGCGATGGTTTTCATATGTAATAATACAAGCTTCAGGACTTTGAACAGACTACGTTCAACGAGATCAGCAGCTTTCATCAGCAATTAAGCAAAATATTCTTCATACAAAAATAATTATCGAGTACACAAGTGAGTAATGCAACTTCGACGCGTGTCTTTTATACTTTATTTCTTTGTTTTTTTCTGATTGTCCATGTTCATGAAAATTTCCCCAAAATACTCCAGAAGTAGGCGGGCTTTTTAATGGATCTTATAAACAGTATTTGAAAACCTCAGACAGTATCGAATCTGAATCTAGATGGCACAAAAAATTAAAGAAGGCCTCGTTCAAACGTGTTCGAACTTTTTCTCAAATTAAATGTTAAAATAATAGCCTCATTGAATCATCAGCAGTTACGATAACGTGAAGATACTGTAATTGAATTCGGAGGACGGGTTCGCGTGTCAGGCATTGGTTGTATTCGAAGAGAAATACAGTAACTAATAGTTTATTCCCTACTTTGTTTGGTACACGTTTTAGTAATTTTTCCTGTAGTACATCGACTCATCAAATTGAATATACCGGTTCAAGAATGTAGAGTGTTTTCATTCCAAAATTTCACCTTGACAAGATTCATTCTTCCTGTTTTCCAAGGTATATTTTGCACCTGTTATATTGATAACTTGCATGGAATGTATGATATATGAGAAGTACTATATATATACGCATGTCAAGAGAGAGGAAAGGCAGAATTATTTTATTTTCCACCGCGAAATTTCCATTTTAGCAGCGAAAGAATCAATTTTAGATTAGCACTTAGTTTTTCTTTTCGAGCTTGATGATTTATTCTGTAATATGCAATATAGCTCCATCAGAAAGACAGAAAAAAAAATCTTGAATTGATATTCACGAAAGCAGTTAAAACAATCTCTGAATAAGTCAATTGTGAAGCAATGAATTCGTATTTTTCAAATGCTTTATAGTGAGCGTCAAGCAATTTAGTTCTCGTACAAAACTGTCTTGCTACAAAGATTATGCACTTGTCTTTTCAGGTTTAATTGATAAACTTGGATAATGGAACGTGACTTCATTCAATTTTAATGATTTCCATGCAGGTGATCAAAAGATCAAGTTGATGAGCTACAAAAAAGGAATAAAAGCAGAAATAGCAAAGATTATTACAGATTATAATGGAAATTCTAGTTTGGGACGCATGTTGCATAAGGATGCCAGTTTTTGGCATGTTACGTGTTTTATTTTGAAAGCACGTTCAATCCAATTTTGTGTTATACTCTAAGCACAAATATTCCACTAAAATTCCAGGCGTGAAGCTTGAAACAGGTTCTATAGTTCGATTTAAAATTCAGCACGGNCGTCTTGCATAGTTCATGACGACTCCCCCCTTTTTGGCGCTTTCTGCGGTGTGTTTTTGATTTCCGAATTACTGATGATGGCGAATAAAAAGGGATCCCTTCCCCGCGGGCGGTGGGTTCCCATGGCTGGTGTTGTCGGAAGCCCATCAGTCACCACCTGGTGTTGTTGAGCTGTGCATCGTTTCCTTCCCTGTGAGAATTTTTTTTTAATTTTTATGATAGCAAAAGGTTCGATTTTGAGAGCAGGAAAATCGATATTTCTTCGTTATGAATGTCATTGTTTTTTTTTGTGTGAAAATTATTCTTCAATGAGCTATTACGTTTTCGCGGAGAGTCACATTTTGAAGTTGGCATCGTCCATCTTTTTCGAAAATGATCACATTGTATGTAACTAATGCAGTTCAGTATTTAGGAGAAACAATCCAAGGCATTTTTGTATTGAAGTGTTTGACGCTGGATCAAATTTGGAGCTGATTTCTACGAATGGAGAAATTCAAGTTTCGGCATAATTATCACCTCACGATGACAAAGCGATTGAGAATAACACAATGACGAATTGAAACACGCGTTAAAACAAATTTACGGTATCGTATTCATTTTATATACTGCCGAAATGCTAATTTTTATCGAACACAATTTAAAATCATTTTAAAGATTTCTTTCGCTCAAAGTTAATACTGGTGCGTGCACTTATTTTTGTTTACGTGAAACGCCTTATTAAGCGCCGAAAATTTGGAAGAATTCAAAATAGCTAATTTCATCCCGAAAGTGAAATTATTTTTCGAGATTTTTTTATGTGTACCATGAAGCGACTAAAGGACTTGCAAGAAAATATTCTTGAAAAATTATCGGAATTATCACTCATGAACTCGAAACAGTGATGGGAATGTGCTCCCTGCAAGATTATCCACTCATTACAAATTGCAAAATTTCGAAAACCAATTTCTCACCGAAAACCAAGTTCAACAGAGGAAATCATTTTATTGTAAACCATTGGGTATTACAATAGTTGAATTCAGGTTCAATTAATGACTAAATTCAAACCTGGGCGTACTTATTTTGGAAATATTGTAGTTTCAAATTCCGGATATATACAAATGGATTGTGTGTCCATCTGGGGATGCGATTTTATCAAAATTTTCGGCTAAAAACCCCCTTGGTGACAATGGTATTCGAGTGAATAGGGATAATTGAACAAATTTGAACGAAATAAAAAGTTGAAGGCATCCTATCAACTAAATAGCAATTTATGGCCGAGAATATCAAAGATTTTACATTCCTGTGATTCTTCATTTTTTCCCCTCTGCAAAAAAAAACAAAAAATGCTGGTTTCCTTAATTTGAAAGAAAAGTCCGGAATCGATTTTTTTTTCTGCGAGTTTGACTCGAAAAGGTTTGACTTTACTTTGGTTCTCCATCTCCATTTTCCTACATTTTGAATTTTCAGTGTGTCAATAATGTTAACAACGGTTCTCATTTATTTTGTCTCTGTGTGTGTGTGTGTGTGTGTGTGTGTGTGTTTATCTAGGTCAAGCACTGAGTAGAATCAATACCCCAGCCAAAGGATCGCCAGGGAAAGACCCCTATGCTGGTGGTGGTCAGGGCTGCGATGTTTGTCCGTGGGACTCGTCGGGGTCGCCTGTCCCCACTGTCGGTAAGTCACTTACTTACGCAACTTATATTCGAGTACAACTTTTGTCATTTTTTGAGCTCAATTTCTTGCGCATCACCAAACTGTGTAAGGGTGTATATCCAATATGGATGCATAATTTATATTCCATAAATGACGTTCTTTCGGGAACGGATTCGCCATGACTGAGTTAATATAGTGCATTCACGTCTTAAAACCTCTGGGTTACATAATACGAGGGTAGTCCTGGATGGACGCAACTTATGATATTTTAAAAGTATCTTTGATTGTAGCCCATGCATTTTCTAAGGTTCTGGAATTTTTTTTGGGATTTTTAAGAATGTTTTTTCAAGCTATTGCATGATGAGAAGTGAAAACTTTGCAAAGTACAGCCAGAGTTCTCCACTCGTGTCACAGGGTTCTAAACGTTTGTCAATAAGCCAGTTGAAAAAATTTAAATACTGCAGGTTGTTGTTTCATCCGTTATCTTTACTAAATTTCAGATGATAATGGTTAAAAGAAAAATGAAGTTTAATTTTTTAGCAAGCCAGGCAATTTTTTAGCACCCTGTGGCATTGGTGGAAAGCTCTTGAGTGTAATTGGAAAGTATTCACTCACCATAATGCAGTAAATTGAAAAACTTCTTTAAAATTCCGAAAAAAAATTCCAGAACCTTAGAACACCATGGGATATGTCAAGATATTTTTTTTACGATCACATCTACTTTTAAAAATATGATAGATTGCGTCCAACCGGGAATAAGTTGAAATTCAAGAATTGTCGAGTATCAACAGTTGGCTGTACGATATCAACGCATAATTATTCAAACGAACCCGGAAGAATGCTAATTAAGTCTGGTGGGGTTCCTTCAAGCATCAGTGAATAACCCCTGGAAGTTTTTTGTTTGTGATTGCAAAAGCGAGAGACGAGTTTTGTGACAAAATATTTAATTTTGTTTTGCTTAGAAAACTGCCGTAATCAAGTCCGTGGGGGAAAAGAGGGTTCGCAATAAAGCGACCGGTTGACATTATTCTATCCAATGAAAAATCCAATGAAAAATCTCAAGACAAGGGTGGTTTTTTCGTCTTTCGTCCAGGAAAAGGCAAAGAGGTGAACAAGAAGTCCAGTGACTGCAGTCCCAACACCGACTGATGTGATCCCAGGGTTCCCAAGAATTCTGTATAACGATGAGGGCTAAAAGGACAGAAACAGAAAGAAATTATTCGGAAGTCGATCGCGAATATTAAAAAGGAAAGAACTCAGCAAGCGAGTGCTTGATTTTACCGTGTGATTTTCATGAAAATAAAAAGGGAGAGAGAGAGAGAGAAAGAGAAGAATGGTTCTGTTTTCTTCTTTCATTAGAAGATGGAAATACTGCCGTTTTCTTTTCTTTTTCGTCGGATCATGTTGAATTTACCGTTCGTTGATGATGATGATGATGATGCCGAGATGATATAAAGAGGAACGATTTCTGTTTTTTCCTCTCTTTTTTTTTTTGCTGAGATGGGAAGAAAGAAAAAAGAAGAAGGCATCGGTTTATTGGTTCATTTCTTTCACATTACCGAAGCAAATTTTTAACTGACATTTTTGCACACCCTGGGATCAGCACGGTTTTATTGCTGGAGGAAAACCCGTCGGGTCTTTTTCTCGTCCCCTCACATAGGTGAGAAAAAGCCCGGATTTATGCATTTGTTTTTTTCCCCCGTCGCTTTGCTGCATTGTGAGCTCATATAATATGACTTCAATTTATTTGTTAAAATTTCTTGCGGAAGCAAGCAACAAATTGATTACATTCCTGTAGTCAATTTACAGCTCGTTTGTAAGTAAAATTGTGTCTTAATTGAGCTTGCAGTGCCGTTCGCGTTTCATTTTAATTTGATGATTCATCCAATTTTACGATATATATATAGACAACGCTTTCATTTTTGAAACCGTATTTCCAGTTTTTCGTGGTTTTGAACTGCGATTTAGAGATTTTTTTGTCATCATTCCGTCATCGTCATTCTATTTTATTTGCTCTTTCTTCATGCTCATTACGTCTGTTTTATTTATTTATTTTTTTCTGATTATGAGAACGATGTTAATGAGTCAAGTGCATCGTTGGAATCCCTTCGGGTATACGTGCGATGCATTCATTCGTTGGGACTTCTGTCACTGGACTGGAAACCCCAAAGGTTTGCCTTTTTCGTGTGTTTTTTTGTTTTTGGTGCGAAGATTTTTTATCATTAGTCTGTTTATTTTTTTGATTGCCTGGATATTAATTCGACAGCTATTGATAGTATTTTTATAGATGCTTGCTTTTAATGATTCGCTTGCTGGTTGAGGAATCATAGAGGGCAGTTTTGCTTTGCATGTTGAGGGAATAAGGATTGTCATGCACGTCATCACTTGTATATGTTACGTGCATTGACATTTTGAAAGTAAAAATTTATTCAGGGATTTATGATCAACCAATGAATAATTTTTGAGATTGGACCACTAGCAGCAAAATTTTTTTTGAAAATATCTGTGAAACAGAGGAATAAATTACAGAAATGCAGCTGAAATTATTTATTGCATAAAACCTCGCCAATAAATTTATTCTCGCCTAAAATATAACTAACGCACTAATGCAAAGGATGACTCGTGCACGTCATCCTTTAAATTCTATTGGCATCAATATTTTGGAAGTCAAAATTCATGCGACGATTTATATAATCAACCAAAAGATAATTTTGTTTAGTTTGGAACACCAACAAATTTTTTTGGACAATATCTGAGAAACAGATAAATTAATTACAGAAATTCAGCTGCAATTATTTAGTGCATAAAACCTCGCCAACGAATTTATTCTCGCCTAAAATCTAAATAGCGCACTAACATAAAGGATGACTCGTGCACGTCATCCTTTAAATTCTACTTGCATCAAAATTTTGAAAGTAAAAATTCATGCGACAATTTATAATCAACCAAAAGATTTTTTGTTTGGAACACCACCAGATTGTTTGGAGAATATCTGTAGCACAGAGAAATTAAGTACTGTACAGAAATGTTGCTGAAAATTGTTTAGTGCGTAAAACTTCGCTATAACAAGACTATTTTCGCCTAAAATCTGACTAACCTACCATTGAACCTTCGTAGACTGGTCATCGTAACATGGAAATCCTAAACTCGAGCCGAATATAAGGGACCTCAGTTTGAATCTCAACTAAAACAGTATTGCAAGTAAAGTATACTAAATCCTAAGCTTAACCAAGATAACCACAAATTGCTGGAACGCGACACAATGAATAAATGAACATTCGAGTTCGGATTTTAAACTGACGGAAGCTATATTTCTTAAACCAAAATAACATAAAGTTCATGCTTTTCGAGAAATTAGGAACATCTTTGCTGTAATTGAGCAGAAATTGACGTGAAAAAAGAACTATATACAGTTCCGTATTTAAAATTTTGACAGACTGCATGTGGTATTCTTCAAAGTTTCTAAAAAAAAAAATACGATGTTCGATGAGGAGAGAGTTTTCACACCCGAGTCATCCTTGCTGGTTAAAGAATAATTTTGCCTTTTAACTTTAGTCCTGAATCACGCTAACTTCAATGATGCCGAAAATAAAATTGCCATGAGTATGATAAACACGGTCACGACTTCTTTTTCGTACGAAATGGACTCAAAATTACGTCGATTTTCGGCACGGAACCCTAATTGCGGATAATGGTGTGCATGCAAAATTATCGTCCTTGGAAAAATAAAGAAGTTGCTGCATAATAAATTTGGCTGCCAGCATAAAATTTACAGTGCTGAATGAAAATTTTATTTTACATTCTCGGTTTTGTTGACCTTTCGTTTTCATGTTTATTATGCTGTATTACCTTTTTCTCTCAATTTATGAGATTTTCTGTCAAACGTGAACTATATTTTTTTTAATAATTCTTCTGAAGAAAATTTCGAAGGGATCGCAGTTGATGATGCTTACCAACACGACTCATTCGACGAACTATTTTGTGGTCTTTAAAAATTTTTTAGCGCAGCTCGAATATATTTTTTGGATAACGGACATCCCCACTCTGGGACGATGGATCAAGTCCATTTACTGATGCACCATTTCTTTTTTTCTATTTTTTTGTTTACGAAATACATTAAAAAAAAAGGTTCTCCTGCACCTCGTTCGCTCGACGACAAACGGAAGGACTACGTGACGAACGCGAGACAGATCAAGTCGTGCGATGTGGGTTCTCGCTTGGCTCCTCCAGCACCCAAAAAGCCACAGAGGAATTCCGTGGCAGCCATTGAAACCCATCTCGGGGACCTGAATGCAACCCGGACCCCGTCTATAGAAGAGACCGAGGATTCTGTGGGGGGTCGTCGGAGTCACCGAGATTCTTCGATACCCGAAAGCGTCGCGGAAATCAACGAGGAAGATGAAATCGCTGAGAATACCGAGCTTCAGCCATCTACCAGCAGCAATGTCAAGTGAGTTGAAATGATGCATTTGCTTGCCTTTGACCGATGAAAAGGGTACGTATTGGCATCAGGAAGAATTAGAAGCAAATCAAAAGTATATATACGGGGTTGTGCAAAGTTGTACCTTGATAACTGGAAGCTTCCAATGTCGAGAATGTTTTCCCCCCGAAAGTCTCTGTATGAATTCCTTCAGAAAAATTGCATTAAAAACCTCGCGAACCCAAAGGCTTTCCCGTCGAAGCTACATGACTCGAATTTTCTGGAGGCCTTTGATTATTATTTTACTGACTCAGGAAAGAGAAAAGCAACAACAATGTAAATTTATGTATTCTGAAAATAAATTAAACACTATTTGGGCAAATGAACCCTTAACTCCAAGTTCAGCGTCCTGCCGACTCAATTTAAAGCCCAGCTAGAGTATCGCCGATAGAAAAAACTCTGAAAAAAGAAGCACAAAATCAGCTTACTTTCGATCATAAGTTAGAGTGAATTTATCATCTTGAATACCTGTCTAAATGACTTGATTTTTTCAAAACGTATCAAATTAAAAAAAAAATTAGATGCTCTGATTTATTTGGAAAAACTTCAGAAAAGTGTCCCTAATTTGAGCCAATGTTCAAATTTCAGGCCTGATTTTATTTTTATTTTTTGTTTTCAAGTGTCCCTAAGTCGAATTGTCTGTATGTCGGGGTGTCCGCACATCGGGGTCTCAATTTAAGAAATACGTTCATGCAATTATCGTTTTGATCACTTCATGCCCAGCATTTGGCTCTTGTTTGCCCCCTCCTGAAACATCAGGTTCCGGGTTGAAAGCGACACTGACGAAAGCGTGACGCCGACGTCAGCCATTGATCGAGCAGCAGGAACGTCAGCAGCAGCGCCTGTCACAATCGTCACTGCGGCGCCTCCTTCCGCCGCCCATCCCGCCACCCCGCTGCTGCAATTCGACTCCGTGGTGCCGCGCATCTTCGCCGCTGATACTGCGGATGGCAGCGACACCTGTTGCGGAGTTGCGCAGGACAACAACGCGATCGTGTTCGACGAGGCGGACGTGAATACCCAGTACGCGTGCCACATTGCCAGTGGGGTCGTGCACGCCCAGTCGGGTTACTCGGGCCAGCCCGAGGGTTATTCCCGGCTGCAAAACGACGGGTGTCTGATCTCGGCGGAAAACCTGCCCGACGAGTTCGTCTTGGAGCCAAATTCTGGAGGGTTTCTCCAGTTTGTTGTAAGCGTCATACTGCTGGTTGTTTTTTCTTAAATTAAAAAATAATAATAACAATAATAAGGATTTTCTTGAGAAAAAAAAATTTATGATGCCGCATTTCCGTGACTCATTTTAGCTTGACCAAAGGTCTATAAACTTTTCTTGGGTTGAGAAGGTCAGAGTTGGGAAAAATCAGAGAAGAGTAGATCCTTTTGTTCTCAAAAATTTTGAACATTATAATTCTATGCTGTAGGAATGCAGGAAAAGATGCCAACTTTCAAGACATTTATTTGATTTCATTTTTAATGAAGGAGTTTCTGCTGGCAGGCAAGAAAATATCAGACTATTTCCCAACTTGAGCCTTGCTTCTCTGTTCATGTTTTTGTGTGTGTGTGTGTGTGTATTTCAGTGCTCTTGGGCACAACATTTTGTAAAAAATATCCCGATTTTGAGGGAGAAGGGGGAAAAGACAGACATTTTTGCAAAAATTGGCACAATCAGTAACTCCATGATATACCTCATTTCAGAAATAGTGCCGCAAAATTTGAATGAAACCTAAAACTTGTGTGTGTGAACAGGGGAAATCGTTTGAATCTTCTACAGTATTTTACTTGGATAAATCAACATTCCTGAATAAAATGACGTTTTCCAGCATAATAATTAATTTCTCGCCGCAATACTGTACAGTGAAATTTCAGTTTGTTTATTCTGATCATTTATTTTACCAAATTATAAAATTGTTGTGCCACAATATTCGGGAGTTTTGGTCAGGTCCTTGAGGTATTTCTCCTTATGCTTCGAAATTCAATATGCAGGTGTTTCTTTCAATGTGATATTATACTTATGGTCAGGTTAGACTAGTCATTTTATTGGCCAGCAAAAGCTAAGGTATTGTGATCATCAGTCATGTAACAAGTAAAACAAAAAAGGCGCCATCATGTTTTAAATTTTCACGCTGAAGTTAAGGTATTCAAAGTTAAATTTTGTACCATATACTGTTGGGCTTAATTTGGTGATCTGAAGATATAAATTTTGTCACAGGAAAAAAATTCATCACACTACAGCCATTACGAAAAGTGCCATTTTGTAATCTTGATTTTTTTGTGAGGGAGTAGTTTCTTTTTATTGCAGTATTGGTGTCAATAACTCTTTTCAGAAGCAATCAAAAACCCAGAATATCAACAATTACAATATCCTGTAAGTTCTTTGTTATTTTCCCCAAAAGTGCTTGTTTCCCTGACTCAAAGCCTTCCCAACTCTACTTTTTGCTTGTCCCTTGAAGTTGAATTGAAAGAGGTTTGAGTGTATTTTGAATGGAATGATACAAGATCCAAAGATTGAATTTTCAGGACAATTATATTTCGGAAGATTAATGGATAAACTTTATGCTTTCAGGCACCCTATTTGGACAGAATTCCCGAAGAAACTGGCAGCGAGACTTCTTCCATAACAACCGAAGCCAGGGAAATACTCAGATCCTCAGACGGTCACAGCAGACGGAACCTTACCGGCATCGTCCCAGGTTTGCATTATTCGTAGCTTCGACATAGCGTTCAAAATTAAGGAAGGAACACCTGTGTTGCAGTGCATAAATAGTGCTGTC